GGCTCTGGCCTCTGGGGAGAGGGGCACCTGCCAGTAGCCACTGCGGAGGTCTAGTGAGGAGAACCAGGAGGACCCCCTAACCAGGTCCAGCGACTCATCGATACGTGGTATGGGGTATGAGTCCTTCCTGGTTACCTCATTCAGCCGCCTGTAGTCCGCACAGAACCTCAGCTTGCCCCCCTTCTTCAGAACCATGACGACTGGCGCCGCCCAGGGGCTGTCTGAGGGCTCAATGAAGTCTGCCCGCTGCATCTCCAACACAGCCTTGTCTGCCGCCTCCTGGCGTGCCAGCGGGATACGGCGGGGACGCATCTTGATAGGTCGAGCATCACCTGTGTCGATCTCATGCTGCACCAGATGAGTCTGACCCACCTCTTCCTCACTCAGCGCAAAGCTGTCTCTGAATTCAAACAGCAACTGCCTCAACCGTTCCTGCTGCTCGGGGTCAAGACCAACACAGTTCCTCCCCCATATCTCCCTCACTGCAGACAGTGTCCTCTCCCCTCCCATCTGGGGTAGCTGGGCTGGGGGGGCGCGGCCCGGACTCACAGAGGACTGTGTCGTGGAGGTAGCTGGGGGAATGTAACGCAACGCCGTAGGTGACAGGGGGGCTGGGGAAAAGTCACACCCAGATGTGGGGGAGGGGGGGCAGCCATGAGTCTCTGCTGCTTTAACTGTTGGAGTAAAGGGTTTGTTGGGTTGAGTGAATGTGACATTAGGGGCCATGGTGACCTCCGGCCCTCCCTGGAAGCTCAGTGTGCCCCTATTTAGGTCTAACTGGCAGCCTGTGCTCCTAAGAAAGTCCAACCCCAGGATACAAGGGTCCTGCACAGCCGCCACCCACACAGGATGACGCACAGTCCTGCCCCCTACTGTCAGAGTCATTATTCCCTTCCCTTTCATGGGTGCCAGCTCACCTGTGACTGTGCGGAGCTGCACAGTTGTAGGCTCACACTGAGTCCAACCTGGCACAATATCTGGCCTCACCAGGGTTACTGTGGACCCAGTGTCCACCAGGGCGGAGCAGGGCACCCCCTCCACAGTGACAGGGACATGACAAAAGTCCCCAACACAGGTCCGGCCCACCACAACAACAGGCTCCATCCGCTTGCCCTCGTCTGCTTCTGGGGGAAGTGGAGCCTTGCTTCCCCGTCTGTGCCGGTGGGCTCCTCCTGAAGAAGATGGTGGTTGGGATAGAAAGCCAGGGGTCCGCACTACCCGGTCTATGCGGACCCCGAGCCGTTTCCCTGAGCTCTGGGGGACATGGGGCAATCTCGGCGCAGATGGCCTGGCTGGCCACAACCCCAGCAGACCCTGGGACCAGGGCGTGTGTTTCGTGCCGCCTGTAGCGACACAGCACGAATGAGTTCTGTCATTTCAGCCACCCATGCAGGCTTTTCCGGCTCCGGGCTGCTCTGCCCCCCAGCTCGCACAGAGGGTCTGTCTCCCTGCACCCCCACCAAAGCCCCAGCTGAAGCCCCAGCCCACACCAGCTCCCTCTCCAAAGCCATCTCCAAGGCTACCTGCAATGACTCAGGATGAGCCAGCTGGGTCTGTATGCGCAGCTCCGTAGGAGAGAGCGCCTGTATGAACTGGTCCCGTGCTAGCTCGCTCTGCACGGAGGGGGGCATGTGAGCATATGCCCGCCGAGAGAGGCTCTCAATGTCATTAGCTAGCACCCGTAGAGGCTCTCCAGGCTGCCTGCGTCTATTACTCAGTTCGGAGCGCAGTAGCCCGGGCTGTACACACTGTCCATAGCGCCTCCTCAGTGCTCCCACTAAAGCACCATAATCACGTCTGTCCTCGGGGCTAATCAATATCAAACAGGCCAGAGCTTCATCCGTGAGGCATAAAGCCAACTGCAGTGCCCTATCTTCATCCGACCACCCCCTAAAATGAGCTAACAGTTCAAACTGAGCATGAAAAGCTTCCCAATCCGCCTTACCGGAATACTTCGGGGTCTTAACGGATACGGACGCAGCCGGGAACTGGGCGCCGCCATGTTTGTTTACATCCTGAGCCCCAGATTCCTCGTCCCGCCGCGTCGACGTCACCCCTTCGGTCCGCCCACCAGAATCCGCGCGAAACACAGTCGACGAAGCACTCATGCCCGCTTCAGCCGCCATCACTCTAACGTCCTCCCTCAAGCGGCCTCTGGGCTCCGATGCCCTGGCGATCTCCTCAGCCAGAACCCCCGACGTCCATGGCCATAATCGTCCCCTACCTCCACCTTCACTTTCGGATTCCCTCGAAGCATCTTCAACCCCCGTTCTCACCTACGGTAGCTAGCCACAGAAGTCAGCTAGCTAGCTGGCTAACTTTTATCAACGTTTTTACTTCTGACACCAATGTAATGACCTGACTAGATCATAAAAGAACAACTGTCCAGACAGAGGATTGAGTTTACGAATGGACGGTTTATTAAACCAACTTTACACAGGCTACTGTTTGGCCGTAGCCCACGCCAAATAAATGAAAGATAACCCACAAGCCAATCGTGACCTTCTCTTGTGAAGCCCAGACGTAAAAAAAGAGCGAGAACAAAGGCTAAACCTGGTCTTAACTTCCAATGCTCCATCCCCCTGCCCAACCCCCATCCACGCCACTCCGCCAACCGCCAGGATGCCCGGCATCAGAACATTCCAGGCATTCCCGTGATTGGCAGATAGCAGGTTGATTGACATGTCGGACCCCGCGAACACTGGGTACTGGTAGGTACAACACAACCATCTACTAGCCTAACACATAACACACAGCTGTCTGTGCGGGTCGCTACAATATTAAACGTTATTATCACGGTGAGCGATATATAAACCATAGAATATGAAACACCAAGTTAAACGGAGTGTAGTGATATTATTGTTGTTATTTGTTGATGATGTTTTGATAGTTTAATTAATGTATAAATGTCCGTTAACATTGAAGCTAACGTCGGCTAAAGTTAGCTCCAGTCAAACTAGCCTGTCGTAGTCATGGCGACAGGACTAACGAACGTTCTTACAGTGTAAACAAAGTGAAACATTGTAACTTGCTGTTTATAGGGATATGTTATACGAAATAATATGATAATTAATACCTTTTTACAAATAGTTTTTTAGTATGTTGGTTATTTAGAATTTGTATAAGAATAGCCAAGTCAGTTGAATGAGAGAGAGCCAACTGAAAACTGTATTGGAGAGAGAAGCACCAGATAAACTATTTTAAATCTTCAAGGTTTCAGACTTCCTTCGTTCTTCTCACCATACCCTATCCAGCTCCCAAGGTTTAAGAGGGTACACTACACTACTAGACCATGTGTGTTGTGGTTTTTCACTTTGAGCTAAAGGGATTTAAGAAGGTACTAGGCCTATGCTTTGCCATTTCAGAGCTAGTAGTCAATGTTGCATTATGTGAGTATCATAAATTACAACGTTTTTGGTCACTATATCAGAAAAAAAGGTGGGGCACAGACCATCACAATACATTGTAAACAACGACCATGCTAGTACAAAACTATGGTATTTTATTTTTTTGCATTTTTGTACGGTGGGAGCTAGTATAATGAAAATAGCATGGTGCTGGTGCAAAAAAAACATGATAGTACTATGGTATTTTTTTCATTGTACTACCATGGTACATTTTTGCAAGGGAAATAGTGCCTCCCGCAGGCGATGGCTGCAAGTTGCAGCTGGTGAGGAGCACCTGCAGAAAATTGAAGTCGACTGCATTCAAAACTTTGTGACCTTTGATCACATGTAGATGCGTCGGAAAATGTTTATCCCCATAATGCAACACACTTTGAAAGGTTGGTCACCGACTTGACAAAAGTCAGCCACTCGAGCGCGCATGGTGTTGCATTTGGCTATGAGTATGTAATTTGTGCTGTTCGTGTAAGCTGTCATGTTGCTGACTCTCACGTGCCCAAAGTAATTGCCCTGTGGAGATAGTTATAGTGGTTTAAAGAAGGCCTGAGTAAGGCCAACATGTCACAAATATCCAAACTTTGATGAATTATTTCTCCATGAAGCTTTGGATAATTTGAGGACCAGTGATTTTGACCTGAATGATCCAAAAATGACAGATACAAAATTCAACCAATGCTTGCAGAAATGTATGAAGTGTATCTGTGCAAGATATAAATGTGAATACACACATTTTTAATCAGATATTTTCATGTCCTTCTCCTTTATTATTGCTATTGTCAGAAAATGCAATATTGTAGTTATTTGAGAATAACAGTTTACATTACAAATCAGCTATTGAAATGATCCTGTGAATTATGAAACAAAGATGAAATGAACACAAAAAAACAAAAAAGGTGTTAAACCAATGTTTTTTTAAATATATATAATAACCAACAATAACCCAAATGCCAGAGTCTAACAGAGTGATAATGCTTTTGACTCCAGTCCACATTTACCTGCCTGGGGACAAGGATTCAAGCCCCTTCTCTGCCCTTCTGTCTGTCCCCCTACTTTCTGTCTCCCTCACTACTTTCCCTGCTGTACTGTCTTAAAATGAATAACAATACAAAGGGACATCAGAGTTCCAAAAAAACTTTCAATTTTAATTCACGGGGTGAGTGTGTTGGTGTTCAGTCAGGCACTTTCTTTGAGCGAAGGCTAACCCACATTCCCCACACACATGTGGCTTATTTTTTCTTGTATGCGTTCGCTCGTGTTTTAACCTATGATACGATAATCTGAAACTTTTATCACAAAAGTTACATGCAAATGGCTTCTCTCCTGTGTGAAGACGTTGGTGCGATTTCAGGTAACCTGACTGAATGAAAGACTTTCCACAGTCTTGGCATTTGTAAGGTCTCTCACCAGTATGGTATCTTTCATGCAGCCTTCTTTCATTGGCAGTGATGAAGGTTTTTGTGCAATAGGAGCATGGAAAAGGTCTTTCTCCTGTGTGAGTAAGTTCATGTCTTTTCAATGACACTGCTTTGTAAAATTGCTTTCCACAGATTGTACAAGGGTATCTCACCCCCTCATGAACTTGTTCAATGTGTGAATTCAGCTGAAGTTTTGTTCTGTAGGACATGTCACACTGCGAGCAAGAAAATGGTCTCTCCTCTGAGTGGGTCCCCATATGCACTGACAGTTCTCCAGCAGCCTTGAAGCTCTTTCCACACTGCCAGCACAGGAACGGCTTTTCTCCTGTGTGCTTCCTACTGTGTATTGTTAGAGAATTTGCTGAATTGAACTTCGCTTGACAAACAGAGCACTGGTACAGGTACTCTCCTGATGCAGATAGTGATCTCTCAGACGCCCCAACAGGGTAAAGGTCTTCTCACACATGGGACACTGGATTTCCTTGTGCTGCATCAGCTTGTGTCTGTCAAAGGCAATTGAGTTTGGAAGTACCCTTCCACAATCAGAGCAATAGAATGGGTTGTGAATTCGCTTGTGTGTTCTTAGGGATGATGAACCTTTGAAGTCCTTCCCACAATCATCACATTTGAAGACCACCTTTCTTTTTTCACATTTGAAGACCACCTTTATTTTTTCCTCTCGGCATAAACTTTCCTGGTGTTGGTTCAAATTACAGATGTCATCGAAACGCTTTCCACATTTTTTACACCAGTGAACCAGTTGGGGTTGACTGGTGGATGTCTCTGGGGTATTAGCCTTAAAAGCCAGCAGTTCGCTAGACTCCTCCCCTTGGTGCTGGTCTACCATCTGAGAGGACTCTTCTCGGTTCACCTTTCAGATATATCTCTGGTGTTGATTCAAACTTTGCTTGTACTTCAACTCTGCTCACAGTTGCCACATTGATAAGGACGCTCCTCTGAATGGGATCTCATATGAGTAGCTAAATGAGAAGCACAGTCCAACATCTTCCCACACACAGTGCATGCGTGTTCTTGGGCAGTTGGCAATGGAGTAACAGCCTTGATAAGGGGCTCAGTGTCATTTTCCTTGGTAGTGAGAGTGCTGATGCAACTCTCTGTGTTAACTTCCACTTGTTGCGGGTCCACACTCAGACCAAAGTATTCTAGGATGCCCTCGTGTCCAAGGATTTCCTGATGTTTCTTCAAAGAGTCTTTGTACTTAACGCTTCTCTCACAAATAGCACAATGAAAGGGACGTGCCTTTGAGTGAGATTTCAAGTGCCTATCCATCTGTGAGGTACAAGTCAAAATCTTACTACAGACATAACAGGTTTTGGAATCTACCTGGGTTTGATTTTCTGCAGTGGCAAGAAAAACCTTCTCCGGTTGCGGGCCACTCTGTTGTTGTGCCATATTCTGACCAACATCCTGACACAAATCTCCCTGGGTCATTCTCTGACACAATTCTCTCTGGCGTTTTCTCAAATCGTATGAATACTTGAACCTCTTACCACAATTGAGACACCTAAATGGACCCTCTTTTGAGTGGGAGCTCATGTGCCTTACCAAGCTTGAAGTACGAGTAAAAAACCTCCCACACACAGAGCATGTGTTAGTGGCTGTGATAGTGTCCAGAGTTCCTTGATGAGATGGCCCTGGTGGAGAGGAAGTCTTAAGGGGTGATGTGATCAGAGATTTGCTAGTTGAGGGTTGTGGGATCTCTTCTTCATCCAAAATTTGGAGCTCCTTTTCACAAACTCGCCTCTGGTGTCTCTTCAGATTATGACCATCCGAGAAGTATTTTTCACATTCGAGGCACTTACACTTGAGATGTCCAGTGTGGGTTAGCTGATGCCTTTTCATGGCTGCGACCCTAGTGAAAGTATTTTCACACACTTCACATGCATTATTGAATGGGCCTCTTTTGCATGACTTCTTTGGGGAAGAATGCACCTTGGAGGATGATGGCTGTTTGTTTGCACGCCAGGAAGAATCAGTCTTTCGAGGTTTTCGACCTTTTGAACACATTTCCTTAATCTGCAGCCTTTTGCTTCGTTTTAATGGTTGAAAATGTGATGGTCTGAGTGAATTCAAGCCAGTGACAGCTTGATTGTCAATTTCCCCAAGGCAGTCTCCATGTCCGTACCATACTCCTGCTCAGTAATTACGTCTCTTCTAACCTCATCTGCTGGGACTAGTCCATCAATTTCCTTTGTCCGATTCTCCAACAACTCTCTTGCTTCCATTCCCTCCAAATTCATGCTTTCTGATTGTGTATCTGAGTCTACATCTGGGGCAGTCACCACTCGGACGTATGGAGGAAGAGACAGAGAGGAGAGGATGCAGTCACCAAAGGACGATGGAGTTCCTTTTCATGCATAAAAAGTGGGAGACAATGAAAAAAATTAAGGTTAAATTGAACAGCATATGATAATTTTGTCAATGCCTCGAATATAAACTTTTACCGATAAAAGTAACAATTGCTCTACTTGACACAAATCATTCAGGTAATAAGGCAGAGGGAGTGTGGTATATTTAAGCAATAAGGCCGAGGAGGTGTGGTATATGGCCAATATACCAGGGCTAAAGCTGTTCTTATGCATGATGCAATGTGGAGTGCCTGGATACAGCTCTTAGCAGTGGTATATTGGCCATACACCCCCAAAAAACAGAGGTGCCTTATTGCTAAAATAAACTGGTTACCAACGTAATTAGAACAGTAAACAAGTATTTATACATCATACCTGTGGTATATTGTTTGATATACACATGGCTGAAATGCTGTTTCATCCGATCAGCATCCAGGACCCAAACTATCCCAGTTATAATTGCAATTTTGGCACAACCAATCTATAACACTGTATGATACTCACGGATGGAGTCCAAATGTCCACGTTTTCTGTGGTACTGGAGCAAGGTTCTCAATTGTATGGGGTCAGGTACAAACTGTACACATTTCTCCAGGGCAGAGGGGACAGCATTTAACAAGGTGGCAGTCTTGAGGGAGAGGAACATGTTTTAAAAGCATTAACAACTACAAACTCATGTCACACTGAGTTTCTTTGTTTAAATGTAAAAAAATGTTATTGATTCTTGCTTGGTATTCTTGACTTCTAATTCCCCAAACTAATTAGATAACGGTGTTATTCCTTCTTATTACCTGTTCAAGGTCTGGTATGGGAAGTAACTTCTCAAGTCTGGAAAGGAATTCCAACATCAACATCTGTATTGCAGTGTCATAGTTGGGCCCGAATTCCACAGGGAACACATCCTAGATGAGAATAAATTAACCTAAAATGACAATAATACCTGAAAGATACTCACCTCTGCTTCCCCAGTGGATATGAGGCTTCGGATCCTGTCCAGGTGTTGCTGAATGTCTTGGTCTGCTGTCTGCTCAGTACGACACAACTCCAGAACCATCTAAAATTACAGATGACCAGTCAAGAGTAGAGCAAAGGTCAACCACAAACTACGTAGGCATTGCTCTTTTCTCATTGTGACACATTTAGATAGATAGCCTAGCTAAGGGCCAATGTCAGTATTTGAGAAAATCAGTGTCAGGGTCTTCAACTCAGTCAATGTTTAACAGCTGACTGTTTTAGGCTAGAGTCAACAATATTGTTGTCAGAGACTAACCTCACATGATCTTGTTGCATGTTTCTTTTTCCCCATTCTGAGGCCAATCTCTTACCCTTGCTCGAAGGCCCAGGATGAGTTGGGCCCTCTTACTGCAACTCAAAAGCTCTGGCACAATCTCTGTCACCGTGGTGACAAACTCCTCCAGCATCCCATAATCTTGAACATCTCCTCGCTGAACCACTTGCCACATGGCTGCAGAGACAAGCCGCAGTGGTGGAATGAAGAGACGCAGAGAGGGAAGAAGAAGAGGGGGGCCTAAAAATAAGAAAATAATTTGTAAACAGAGCTACGCATATGTCTTGCAAGCTAAGAAGTTATCCCCCTACATTGTACACAGTCACCTTGACCAGGCGCAAGCAAGTTTGACAAGGCACGCCTTCATAGCACCTAGCTATAGTTAGAAGGGTAGGCCTAAATGCTATACTGAACATAAATATAAACGCAACATGCAATTTTTTCAAAGATTTTAATCAGTCAATTGAAATAAATTCATTAGGTCCTAATCTATGGATTTACATGACTGGGCAGGGGCGCAGCCAATCAGAATGAGTTTTTCCCCACAAAAGGGCTTTATTACAGACATAAATACTCCTCAGTTTCATCAGCTGTCCGGGGGGCTGGTCTCAGATGATCCTGCAGGTGAATTAGCCAGATGTGGAGGTTGTGGGCTTTCGTGGTTACACGTGGTCTGCGGATGTAAGGCTGGTTGGACGTACTGCCAAATTCTCTAAGACGACATTGGAGGTAGCTTATGGTAGAGAAATGAACATTCAATTCTCTGGCAACAGCTCTGGTGGACATTCCTGCAGTCAGCAAGTCAATTGCGCACTCCCTCAAACCTTGAGACATCTGTGGCATTGTGTTGTTAGCCAAAACATTTTAGAGTGGCCTTTTAGTGTCCCCAGCACAAGGTGCACTTGTGTAATGATCATGCTGTTTAATCAGCTTCTTGAAATGCCACACCTGTCAGGTGGATGGATTATCTTGGCAAAGAATAAATGCTCACTACAGGGATGTAAACAAATACGTATGAAAAAAGTATTTAGTCAGCCACCAATTGTGCAAGTTCTCCCACTTAAAAAGATGAGAGAGGCCTGTAATTTTCATCATAGGTACACATCAACTATGACAGACAAAATGAGGAAAAAAAATCCAGAAAATCACATTGTAGGATTTTTAATGAATTTATTTGCAAATTATGGTGGAAAATAAGTATTTGGTCAATAACAAAAGTTTCTCAATACTTTGTTATATACCCTTTGTTGGCAATGACACAGGTCAAACGTTTTCTGTACGTCTTCACAAGGTTTTCACACACTGTTGCTGGTATTTTGGCCCATTCCTCCATGCAGATCTCCTATAGTGCAGTGATGTTTTGGTGCTGTCGCTGGGCAACACAGACTTTCAACTCCCTCCAAAGATTTTCTATGGGGTTGAGATCTGGAGACTGGCTAGGCCACTCCAGGACCTTGAAATGCTTCTTACGAAGCCACTCCTTCGTTGCCCGGGCGGTGTGTTTGGGATCATTGTCATGCTGAAAGACCCAGCCACGTTTCATCTTCAATGCCCTTGCTGATGGAAGGAGGTTTTCACTCAAAATCTCACGATACATGGCCCCATTCATTCTTTCCTTTACACGGATCAGTCGTCCTGGTCCCTTTGCAGAAAAACAGCCCCATGCTTCACAGTAGGTATGGTGTTCTTTGGATGCAACTCAGCATTCTTTGTCCTCCAAACACGACGAGTTGAGTTTTTACCAAAAAGTTATATTTTGGTTTCATCTGACCATATGACATTGTCCCAATCCTCTTCTGGATCATCCAAATGCACTCTAGCAAACTTCAGACGGGCCTGGACATGTACTGGCTTAAGCAGGGGGACACGTCTGGCACTGCAGGATTTGAGTCCCTGGCGGCGTAGTGTGTTACTGATGGTAGGCTTTGTTACTTTGGTCCCAGCTCTCTGCAGGTCATTCACTAGGTCCCCCCGTGTGGTTCTGGGATTTTTGCTCACCGTTCTTGTGATCATTTTGACCCCACGGGGTGAGATCTTGCGTGGAGCCCCAGATCGAGGGAGATTATCAGTGGTCTTGTATGTCTTCCATTTCCTAATAATTGCTCCCACAATTGATTTCTTCAAACCAAGCTGCTTACCTATTGCAGATTCAGTCTTCCCAGCCTGGTGCAGGTCTACAATTTTGTTTCTGGTGTCCTTTGACAGCTCTTTGGTCTTGGCCATAGTGGAGTTTGGAGTGTGACTGTTTGAGGTTGTGGACAGGTGCCATTAATACAGGTAACGAGTGGAGGACAGAGGAGCCTCTTAAAGAAGAAGTTACAGGTCTGTGAGAGCCAGAAATCTTGCTTGTTTGTAGGTGACCAAATACTTATTTTCCACCATAATTTGCAAATAAATTCATAAAAAATCCTACAATGTGATTTTCAGGATTTTTTTTCCTCAATTTGTCTGTCATAGTTGACGTGTACCTATGATTAAAATTACAGGCCTCTCTCATCTTTTTAAGTGGGAGAACTTGCACAATTGGTGGCTGACTAAATACTTTTTTTCCCCACTGTATGTGCACAAATGGGACATTTCTGGGATCTTTTATTTCAGGTCATGAAAAATGGGACCAACACTTTCATGTTGCGTTTATAGTTTTGTTCGGTATAAGGGGGACCCTTGGGATGTCCAACTCTGACGGCACCCCATTGAAGTTGAAATTTAATAAGGTATGGGTTAAGGTTAAGGTTAGGGACGTCCCAAGGATCCCACTCTCAGCATCTACCTTAGAAGACGTGCAGAGCTAAATAAATTGATATGAGCCGCAACCCTGATTGAAATAATACTGAACAGATATTCAAAGTTAAATTTAACACGAGTCTAAGGTGCTTCAAATACATATTTAAAATATTTAATAAAAAGGTGGCTGATTTCACTTGTCAGACAATGAAACCTATAGTGATGCCCCAAACGTATCCAGGTCTGTGCCCAAACAGTTTGAGCTTCTACTTCTAAAAATCCACCTTTCCAGAAATAAGTCTCTGTCACGCCCTGGCTCTGGGGACACTGTTATGTTGAGCCAGGGTGTGTAGATTTCTGTGTTGTAGGTCTAGTTGTTTCTTTTCTATGTTGCCAGTGTGGTTCTCAATCAGAGGCAACGAGTGTCAGCTGTGGCTGGTTGTCTCTGATTGGGAACCACATTTAAACAGGCTGTTTTCCCACAATAGTTGTGGGATCTTGTTCTAGTTGGTTTGTGTTAGACCGTTGACTGTCACGTTATCGTTTTGTTGATCTGATCGTGTATCACCTATAATAAATATGTTCGCATTCAACGCTGCGCCTTGGTCCTCCTCTCTTACCGACGATCGTGACAGAAGATCCCACCAGAACTGGACCAAGCAGCGGGTCCAGGAGCCATCGCCAGGGAAATCCCTAGCGGATATCCAGCGCCTCCTCGACTGGGTCAAGCCGGGTGAGGAAGAGAGGGGCTTGACGTGGAAGCAGAAGGGCGAAAGGCTGGCGAGAAGTATGGAGACCTGGTCCACGGGTAGGAGTGAAGCCCATACAATTTTTAGGGGGGGGCTAACGCCGTGGACGACGGGCCAGCAGGAGACCGCGACAGAGCGGCCCAGCGGGTTGGCAGAGGAGGCCGCCAGGTTACGGGGGCCACTGGTCGAAGAGGGGATGGAAGGTGTAGAGGCACGGCGAAGGGTACTGGGGTGTGTTACCAGTCCGGTCCGGCCCGTTCCAGATCCCTGCGTAGGGCCAGTGGTGTGTGTCCCCAGTATGGTCCGGCCTGTTCCTGCTCCCCGCACCAGGCCAATGGTGCGAGTCTCCAGCCCGGTCCGGCCCGCTCCTGTTCCCCACACCAAGCCAGTGGTGCGCATCGCCAGCCCGGTCCGGCCCGCTCCTGCTCCCCACACCAAGCCAGTGGTGTGCGTCGTCAGCCCGGCACGGCCCGTGCCTGTTCCCCACACCAAGCCAGTGGTGCGCATCGCCAGCCCGGTCCGGCCCGCTCCTGCCCCCCACACCAAGCCAGTGGTGTGCGTCGTCAGTCCGGCACGGCCCGTGCCTGTTCCCCACACCAAGCCAGTGGTGTGCGTCGTCAGTCCGGCACGTCCCGTGCCTGTTCCACCGGTGCCTGGTCCGGCACCGGTCAGATGCTTCACGCCGGAGCTAGAGCAATCCGCTCCACCAATGTGCAGTCCAGCTCCGGCCAGCGGGGCCAGACCGGACCAGGGGTACTTTGGGGGGTTTGAGAGGGAGCGGGGATCAGGCCCGGAGCCGGATCCACCGCCTAGGCGGAGTGCCCACCCGGTCCCTCCCCTGTGGTATTTGGTTGGCGCGGTCGGAGTCCGCGCCTTTAGGGGGGGGTACTGTCACGCCCTGGCTCTGGGGACACTGTTATGTTGAGCCAGGGTGTGTAGATTTCTGTGTTGTAGGTCTAGTTGTTTCTTTTCTATGTTGCCAGTGTGGTTCTCAATCAGAGGCAACGATTGTCAGCTGTGGCTGGTTGTCTCTGATTGGGAACCACATTTAAACAGGCTGTTTTCCCACAATAGTTGTGGGATCTTGTTCTAGTTGGTTTGTGTTAGACCGTTGACTGTCACGTTATCGTTTTGATCGTGTATCACCTATAATAAATATGTTCGCATTCAACGCTGCGCCTTGGTCCTCCTCTCTTACCGACGATCGTGACAGTCTCTCACTGTTGCCGCTTCCTACCGACCCCCCTCAGCCCCCAGCTGTGCCCTGGACACCATATGTGAATTGATTGCCCCCCATTTATCCTCAGAGTTCGTACTGCTTGGTGACCTAAATTGGGATATGCTTAACACCCCGGCCATCCTACAATCCAAACTAGATGCCCTCAATCTCACACAAATTATCAACGAACCTACCAGGTACAACCCTAAATCCGTAAACATGGGCACCCTCATAGATATCATCCTGACTAATTGACCCTCTAAATACACCTCCGCTGTCTTCAACCAGGATCTCAGCGATCACTGCCTTATTGCCTGCGTCCGTAACGGGTCCGCGGTCAAACGACCACCCCTCATCACTATCAAACGCTCCCTAAAACACTTTAGCGAGCAGGCCTTCCTAATTGTCCTGGCCCAGGTATCCTGGATGGATATCGATCTCATTCCGTCAGTAGAGGATGCCTGGTTGTTCTTTAAAAGTAAT